CTCCTGGGCACAGATGAGCTCACACTTAGCAGGGCCCTCCTGCTTCTCCACGAGCACAGAAGCATGTGCCTCTATATATAACGCATGTTCCCATATGTACACACGCACAGGTATACAAAGTCAGCAGGAGCTCACATTCTATACACACACATGCACACTCACGTGCACTTGACCCTTGCACAAATACACAGGCACAGACTTCCATGCGAGATGTGCACATTCAAATCACACATTCACACCAGACTTGTCCATGCATGAGAGAGATACTATACCCAGTGTTCATAAACTGTCCATCACTGTTGTACCTCCTAATCTCCCCAGGTAGAACCTTCAGGACTCCCAGGGTGAGAAATGAAGCAGGGAGAGGGCTGCAAACTGTCCATCACTGAAGTACCTCCTCATCTCCCCAGGTAGAACCTTCAGGACTCTCAGGGTGAGAAATGAAGCAGGGAGAGGGCTACAACCTGCAGAAAGCTGCAATTCTCAGCCTCACCTCCAGGGGCTGCTATGGGGCCCACAGCTCCAGCCCTGGGCTCTGAAAGGCCTAGCTGACCCAGGCAGCCTCGAGGAGGGAGGAGGGAGGAGAGGTGGCTGGGACTCCCTGCAACCAGTAGTAGAACCGTGCAGATGGGCACAGCTTCAGGGAAGATAGAATAGGCAGTTTGAACCTGAGGAGAGGGAAGTCTGAGTTGGTGCGCATAAGTAGATGAGTTCAGGAGGTGGCAAGAGGAAGTGGGCATGGGGAGATGAGGAAAAGGACAGAGGGAGTTCAGAAGGCAAGTGAGGGAGATCAGAAGGAAGAGAAGGGAAAGAAGGGGGAGAAGGGTCAGACAGGGACAGGGCAGTGAGGGGTGTGCATGGGGAGAGAGGCAGGGAGAAGGACCAAGGCCCTTGCGCATGGTATAGGCATACACCGCACCTACTCCATGCCCCATCAGGACAGGCCACTGCTTCCTATGCCCTCCTTCTCCAGACCTGCATCTTGAAACCCAGAAGGCAGGATTCAACCGATCTGCCCTGCAAGGTGGGCAGGGATGTCCATCCTCTCATCTCCTTCCCCACGAAGACATGTCTCTCATCTCTCCCCTCCTCCATCAAACCTGAAGGCAGACCACCCCGTCCTTCCTCATTCCCAGAGCACAGCAGCCTGCACCTGACCACATCTCTTCCTGCCTAAAAACCCTTCAGTGGCTCCCAGCATCCCTTGAGGTATAGCCATACTCTTCAGTATGGCATTCAGGACCCTGCCTGCTTTTTTGGCTTCATCTCAAGCCTCAGTTTCCCCAACCAACCTGACACCCGCAACACTCCGGTCTGCTTCCCAGCCACACAGCAGCTCTCAGGTGCTGGGCTCAGCCTCCAGGGCTCATAGTCTCACCCCACACAGCCTCCCACCCACATTGCTAGTGGACCAAGTACACCTCCAGTGCTCCTTAGCCACTCCCCCCATGCCTCCTCCCTTCCCAGTGCATGCCTGACATCCCTGTAAACTATAACCTCTTGGCAGACAGGGACTTGTATTTGCCCAAGGATTCTCCCCAGCTCCTAGTGTACCGTTCAACATTTGGTGTTTTGTAAGTATAGTCTAATACTTTTTAGACTCTGTTTCATTGATAGTAGGTATCAAGCTCCCCTCTCCCTCCTGCACAGGCTAAGGAGATGCTCGGTCAGGGTAGGGTAGCTGGCAGCTGGTCTCCCCTCAGCTCCCATCCCATGATCCCTCTCTCTGAGCTGGGCTTGCCCCCTTCACGGGCTTCACGAACAGCCACGGGCCCCTATAGTGCCCGAGGCTCCCAAGGACTCTCCCTGGAGGAGTCGGCTGGACAGCCCAGTGGGAAGAGTGGCTGTACACTGTGTCCACAGCAAGCCTCCTGAGCTCCTTAGTCTCTTTGGACACTACAAGGTCAATGAGTGGCCAAGAGGGCCCAAGATACCCCTTTCCTCATTCCAACTGCATGCAGTTCCCTGGGGCCTCAACAGAGCCACCCAGAGGCCCCAACGTGTGCTATCACCTCTTCTCAACAGTCTTCCCAACTCCTGTCCAACTCCACTTCCTGGAGCAGCCAGAGCAAGAAGATGAGGCCTATGAGCCTGCCATGGGGAAGCTTCCCGGTGGGAAACAAAGCACAAGCCTGACACCAGGGCTCAGAAAGACCCAGTGACAGAGCCAGGCTGAAAAGCAGGCGGCCACAGCAACAATAAAGGCCACTCCTCATTAAGCACTCACCAAGTGCAGGACTCCTAGCTAAGCCACCTGCCTTCTCACTTAGTCCTTACCATAACTCTGTGGGGCAGGTGTCGTTCTCATTTTACAACCTGAAAAAAAAAAAAAGGAAGGCTCAGAGAAATGGAGCGAGTTGTGCAGCATTACACAGAGAGCCAGTCGGCCCAGTGGGAAGAGTGGCTGTACACTGTGTCCACAGCAAGCCTCCTGAGCTCCTTAGTCTCTTTGGACACTACAAGGTCAATGAGTGGCCAAGAGGGCCCAAGATACCCCTTTCCTCATTCCAACTGCATGCAGTTCCCTGGGGCCTCAACAGAGCCACCCAGAGGCCCCAACGTGTGCTATCACCTCTTCTCAACAGTCTTCCCAACTCCTGTCCAACTCCACTTCCTGGAGCAGCCAGAGCAAGAAGATGAGGCCTATGAGCCTGCCATGGGGAAGCTTCCCGGTGGGAAACAAAGCACAAGCCTGACACCAGGGCTCAGAAAGACCCAGTGACAGAGCCAGGCTGAAAAGCAGGCGGCCACAGCAACAATAAAGGCCACTCCTCATTAAGCACTCACCAAGTGCAGGACTCCTAGCTAAGCCACCTGCCTTCTCACTTAGTCCTTACCATAACTCTGTGGGGCAGGTGTCGTTCTCATTTTACAACCTGAAAAAAAAAAAAAGGAAGGCTCAGAGAAATGGAGCGAGTTGTGCAGCATTACACAGAGAGCCAGTAGCAGAGCTGAATTTAAATCCAGATCCGCCAGCTCCAAAGACCACACTCCTTCCAGCCTATTTAACGGCCATCCCAAACTCTAGGTGAGGCTTTGACAGTGTAAGCCCTCCCAGCTGAGGCTGCCCCCTGGCTCAGCCCATGCCTGCCTTTCCCCTACAGTCCCCGCTGTACCCAGCCTTGCCACTTTCCAGGTTCACCTCTCTGAGCTGAGCAGTGGCTTCTCCTGTTCACTCAGCCTCAAAAGCCTGCTCCATTTTACAGATGAGAAAGCAGAGGATTAGGAATGTTAAGTAACTAGCCCAAGGTCACGGAGCTAGGAAGCAATTGCGCCTGGTTAGAACCCAGGTCATTAGAGCATCCAGTAATAAAGCCTTAATTTGTGTTACAGACAATTAGGGAATGGGAGTTAGCAGGATGTTAGCTAATGGCACGTGAGTTAGAGCAGAGAAACCGGGCAGGTTCCAGAATGGAGGAGGGCCAGGCTAGGCCTTGGGGAACAGGCTGGGTCTAGATGGGCATGCTTGAGGGGGTAAGCATGAGGAAAGGCTGCAGTGGAGAGAAAAGAGAGGGGGGCAGAGGTGGGGCGGCAAGAAGCCTGTGAAGTTAAGGGATGTGACACAGAGGGAAGAGCTGTGAGATGGGGGCCAGGCCACACGCTATGTCCCTTCGACACACTGTGTGATGTGGCAAGGCCTCTTCTGGGGACTGCCTTGTCTGTCAAGGAGGGAGAGATAAGCCTGGATGGTCCCCAGGGTCCCATCCAGCCCTGTCATCCACTGGCACTTGAACAGAAAATCTGACCCCAGACCCCTGACATAGGGTACAGGCTTGGATGGCAAGGACAGACAGGGGCCAGCAGCCAAAACAGCACCTGACAGGGAACACCCGAGGGGTGGCCCCAGTCATGCTGGGAGTCACCCGTGTACCCCTCCTATCCATGCTGTAAGCATGTACGGACTCGCCGCAGCAGGCTGCCCTGTGGAAGCTAGAACACGGGCTCCGTGAGACCAGGGGGAATTGTGGGCTCAGGGGAAAGGATGGCACGTGCCTGTCACCAGCTAAAATCCCAGGCCCGTCCTCAGGGATGGGAGAGTGGGATGTAGGAGGGGCAGAGAAAACATCCTAGAAATAAGGGTGTGAGTGTCAGGATTAGAGTAAGCAATCTGTCTAATGGGAGGACACTTGAGAAACACGGATGGTCCCTAAGCAAGACAGCACTGCACCCAAATATGAAGTGCGTTCCAGACCATCAGCAAAGGCGACTGTCCTCCCTGGGGGTGTGCGGTACAACACGGGTGCTGCTAGAGAGCTTAGAGCCAGGCGGGCAGACATGCATCATTAGAGCAGTGGACACACATACGTGCGTGCACACACAGTCACACCCCCAACTTAGACTGCCCATACCCCACCTCCAGACTGAACCTTCAAACTTCCCCAGGAAACACGCCCTTCACCTGCCAGTGGGTGCAGCCCTGGAAGTCAGTGCCTTGCTGTCTCACTCTGCTCCCTCTCACTCAGTTCTGATGCGCCTGCTTCCTTTCTGACTCAAGAGGCACCACACGGAAACAGGCCCACCCACCTCCGTGAGGCTCCCTGTACTTGAGCTCAGCTCTCGCATGTCTGACCCATTTGACCTCCAGCTCTTGCCCTCAAGAACCGGCCTTATTCACTACTGAATGCAGAGTAAAGGACTGGGGGAGTGCTGGGGAGCCTGCAGAGTCCCCCTTCCTATGGCCAGTCTCATTGAACCCTCAAGAGTTCAACCCTCAATATTCTCATCGAATCCCAGAGTGAGAAGCTTGGCCTGAGTACCAGCTCCTAGCTTACTCGGTGTGGAAGCACGGCCTGAGTTTCTGTGCTCTCCAAGGTTTCAGTAAAGATTTAAGGCAAACAGCCCACGAAGCACTTAACGTAGAGCAGGCCACAGAATAACTCTCAAGAGTAAGTGCTGTGCTTAATATTCATCCTTAATTTTGACTCTCCCTGCCCTTATCTCACCATCCCATCTTCGGAATAGGAAGTCCCTCTTGAAGTATAACCTCAAGTCTTCACACCATGGTATGAGCCAATGTTTCACCTTTACTGGACTCTGGGGACCAAGGTGGAAAAGGCTGAACTGGCTGATTGGAAGAGCCACCTCCCTGCACGGGGATAAGCCAGGAGGGAGATTATGGCGGCGCCGGGCCCAGGTCTCCAGCATGCACCTGCCACAGCTCCAGGGGAGATACGGAGCCTGCCAACTTACCCCACCCCATGATCTCATGGCTGCGCTTGCCAGGCACTGGCTCAGGAGGCTGGTACTGACAGCCGGCCTGGGCACAGAGCCCGAGGAAGAGAAGGCGGGAAAGCTGCCCAGAGCCATCACCGGAGCTGTCCCTGGGGCTCAGATACAAGGTCCCTATGGCCTCCATGTGTAGTCTTTTAGTGACCCACCATCTCTGCTCCCCTCTCCCAGGCCCCTTCACACTGCCCCACAGTCTCACTCCCACTTGCTCACGAAAGACAACGGGGGAGCTGAGGAGTGGCTCTCTCCTCTGCCCCAGGGGTCAGTCTCTCCTTGGCATCTTTCTGCTGACCCTGGACAGAATGCCCTTGTTGTGGGCCCAGAGAATTTGCTGGGCGGGGGACGGATAGGCAAATGCTGTCATTCCTGAGGCTGCTGCAGACACGCACCTAAATGCCAGTTATAAAGTGACTATGAATCCCCAAATAGATGCCTCTGTCCCAGTTTCGGGGCGTCCCCAGACAGAGACTCAACCCCAGCCCCAAAGTTTACCCATGTCTTTACTCTCGACCCCTCCTTCCCAAGCCAGTTCCTAGATGTCCTTCCCAGAATAATGCCCTCCTGCTCCATGGGGTCAGAGACCCCATGCAGAGCGCTGGATGGACAGACTCAGCCTTCTGGAGCTCAGCATGGACAGACCAGGCCAGCAGCCCAGACGGGGCATTCTCTTTGTCCTGCTGGACACTGAGGGCTCCCTATGGCCCCCATGTCTGGATTGAGTCTCGGCTGGGCCCAGGGCCCCGCCCTCAGGGGTGTTCTCTGCTCTCCATCTCACTCTGGGCTCAGCCTTCGTCTTCAACACAGGACACGAGTCTTCCTACGCATGCCTCGCTCTCACCACCAGGGAGCCCACCCTGTACCCCAGCACCCCCTGTCAGCTTCCCACTGCTTCCTGGCCTGCCACTCCTATGGGAGCTCTCTGGGCTCTGCCCTTCCTCCCTCCCTATCACAGCCTCAGTACTAGTGCCCGAGGTGTACCTGCTGCCAGCCTCCCCGCCCCACACACACTCAGAGAACTCCCACAGAACAGCCAGCATCTCGTCCTCATTTCCTGGGTCCACTGCACACAGAAGCATGCACTTACACACTCTATCCTCCCCTGGCCTCCATGTTCCTCGCTGTAAAAAATGCAAGATAGACTAAGGTCCCCTCCAGCTCAGGAACTCTGTGAGTCTGAGGTTTCTCTCCTCGGGCCCAGACTCCAGAGCCAAAAGTCGCCAAGCCTGGAAGCAGTGGGGCATGCCGTCCTCCCTCCCTGGACTCCTTAGCTTCCCACTCCACTTCCTAGAATCTGCCTCAGCTCCACCTCTGAGGAAGCTGCACTCCTCCCTATCAACCTAAAAAGTAAACTGAGGCAAAGCATGTTAACCAAAAGAAAGTTATGTGGGCCACGTTCAAGGACTGCAGGCTGACATGCAGCCCGGTAGACATATTCAGGTTGTTTTGAACATGCGCTGAAGTCTTACAGTCCTCAAGTAGGTTGTTTTTTTTTTAATAATTATTTTATTTAACTTTATTTATTTATTTAAATATGACCAGAGAGGGACAGAGAGAGAGAGAAAGAGAGAGAGAAAGTGAGAAAGCAGGCCTCCAGGTCCAGGACTCGAACCACAGTTGACCACGTGGGAGTCCATCTCCCTTAACCACCACGCCACCTGCCGGCCCCCCTCAGTAGGTTTTAAGTGCAAAAACCAGAAGTGGGAGTTTGGGGTAAGAGGAATGGGACCAGCTGTCTGGGGACGATTATCCTTGGCTACTGAGATCAATAACTAGGGTCAGATGGGTCAAGGTCAAACAGGCAGTCTCTGGACAGATGTTTCACAGCGGTTTTTGTACATGGTTGTGGTTTTGGCACAGTCCTTGTGACAGTCCTTGCGACAAAAGATGCCCCGTCCACAGCCTTCCCCTGCTTGGTTTAGTCAGGATTTAACATAGGTGGATACAAACAATTCCATTTTGGTTCCGATATGCCTCATTTCTCACTCTAGCATCCCACAGAGAAGTCACTTAGATGGGCCACAGCCCAAAACTAGGTCAAAACCCCAGGAGAAGAGGACCTGGCTCAAGGCTACACTACATTTCCATGTCATTTTCAAGTGGCACCAGTGGGCTGGGCAGATGTGTGGCGGAACAATCCCCACCCACGAGGCAGGGTGAATTCCCAAGTACCAGGTCACTGAGCCAGATCTCTGGGGCGGGGCTCCTGGGCACTGGCTGGGATGTGAGATGACTGTGGCTGCCCCTGTCTGCCCCCACCCCAAAGAGAGCTTCATCCCTCTCATCCCATTGCACTTGTTCCTGCCCTCAGAAGCCTATCCCAGCTACCCCCAACCCGACTCATCACCAGCCTAGGTCACGTCCCTTGGTACTTAGGTCCAAAGTTGTGCCGTGTTCATTTACCCTTGTTTAGTTATTTTGCAAATGTTCTCACGAACCCACGTCTTCAGTAGTCATTGCTAGTGTGAGAGTTCCTGGGGTTAATTAAGCCCATTTTGCTGGAGGATTAGTCCCTGCCCTTAAGTGCCAAGGAAGTCTCTGGAATCTAAGTCCTATCTCACTTGTAATTTTTTCCCCTTGATAATCAGGCAATCTCCCTGATGAAACTCCCTACAATGAGCAACTTCTCCCCATGTTCAAGTTCTTGCCTTGATTGTCAAGCCCCAGGTAAGGTGGAATTGAGACAGGAATGGCTGGGCACGACCAGGAACAGGCCAGCTCCTCAGAGGACAGCTTCTCCTTTTTTTATTGGAGAGGTTTTGCTATACGGCGCGTGCAATCGCCAGACAGACAGAGAGAGACAGAGAGACAGAAAGCGAGAAATCACCCCCCAGGGGGGATAGCCACGCCGCAATTCCTTCTCCTCCATTCTCCCCTCGGGATCTTGGGCACGCACGCACACGCGCCCGGCATGAGTTTAAGCCGCCAGGTTCAAGACTCGAACCACGGCTGGCTACATGGGAGTCCAGCAACATAGCCATTAACATCAACCTTTGGTCCCCAGCTTCTCCCTTCTAAGCTCCACAAACTCTTCCAAGACCAGGAATCTCTTACAGACCCCTGGACCCAGCCTGCATGCTAATGCCGTGTCCCCACCAACACCCATAGGTCCCTCCCTCAGAGGCCACCATAGGAAGAAAGAGAAGACTGGCCTGGGATCTCAGCTCTTGCACTTGCTAACAGCGTACTTGCCCACTGTGGACCTGGATTTCACGATCTGCCAAGTGACTGCAGTAACAAGGACAGTTGAGGGCCAGCCGGTTGCATGGCAGCTAAGGTGGCTAGATCCCAAATGACTGACCACATGGCTCCAGCCCTGGACCTGGCAGCTTGAAAAACACACCAGGCACATGTGCATGCATGCCCCAAATCCCAAGAGAATAAAAGAGAAGGGATTCAGCATGGCCATCCCCCCACCCCGGCAGTGATTTCTCACTTCCTCCCTCTCTCTCTCTCTCTCTCTCTCTCTCTCTCTCCATATATATATGTGTGTGTGTGTGTGCATGTGTGTCTCCAGCAAACGCATATGCCTATAGCAAACAAACAAACAAACCAACGAAAGGACCCTCTGGAGGGCAGTAAAGACCGGAGAGCGGAGCTGGTGTGTAAGTGGACTTGCACCATACCCAGCAGAGGCATCGCTCAGTAAGTGGCAGCCATTGCTTTCGTGGTACCACAGCACCTCCAATCCCCAGAGGCTCTTAATAGGGCCGATACCAAGCATGTGGCTAGGGTGCTGGCGGAGGGAGAAAGAGACTGTCCCTCGGTTCAGGGGCTGTGTTTTCTTCAAGGCTCTCCCACTGCTCTGACTTTGTGGGAAGTCTAGTCTGTTGTTCTCATCCCGCCCATGAGGCTGGCTGGCTAAGCATCCAGGATCAGAGGAGAAAGAGCAGGGTTCAGGGACAGCCTGTCTCAGTCCTGAAAGTCACCCCGGCCCAGGGCCAGAGGAGAGCCACGCCTGAGAGGCCTTCCACGCCTGAGGACCCCTTTATGTCCCTCACCACTTTCCACCCTGTAAGCCGCTCCTGAATGGCAAAGCACCTCAGATGCCAAGCTTGGACCTTGTTCAGGCAAACGCGTTATCGGGCAGGAAAGACTGCGGCTCCCACTGGATGAGCCCTCCCCTTTGGGAGCCCAGACACTCCAGAACAGCACGTGGGTGTTGAATGCAGACTTCTCGATGGAGTAGAGGAGGAGCAAGGCAAGGCCAAGGCGTCCTCACACCCCTGCTCCTGCTCCTCCTGCCCCAGCCCAGGGAGGGGGATCAGGTGTCCCCAGCTCTTTAATCTCACCCACAGTAAGAAATACATTTTACAGACCAACAGACACATGCACTCATAAAATAATACTTGGTAATGCATTAGGGTGGCTTTCTACCCTCACAGCCTTGTAGTGAGTCACAACAGTCTGAGAAACCCTGCTGTAGGCGATGGAGGTGGACCGCGGCTCCAGGCCCGCAAGAGGGTGATGCTCCCACCAGGAGGGGGACACCGAGTCAGCAGGCAGAGTGGCTGGTGTGTCGGCCCCTCCCTTCCTTCCCTCACTTGGTCCCTCGTGGGTGGGGAAATGGGCCAGAATGGAGGACTCCCTGAGAAAGAAGCCACGGCTAGCTGCCCACCCCCTGGCAGACACTAGCCAAGCCTTCTCACTGCTCCTCACACAGCCCCGAGCACCAGCAGCCGTCCTTCCCATTTTATAGAAAAGGCAATGAAGACTCAAAGGAGCTTTAAAAGATTTATTGTGAGCTTGCTGTGTGCCCAGCCATGTCCTGCACGCTCTATGAATATAGCATATTTTGTCCCCAGGACAACCCCTGGAAACAAGTGCTACCGCATCCAGTTTGCAGAGAAGGACACTGCAGGTCACTTCCTCAAGGTCACACAGCTAGTCCCAGGCAGGCCTCCCTTACACCAGGAAACCTGCAGCGAACCCTTCTGAAGCAGGCAGAGCACAGGCTCTGTGCATGCCCTGGTAAACTGCAGGGAGGGAGAGGCAGGTCTGTAAGTGGGGCACATCAACAGAATGGAGGAGAGGCAGGGACCTGCAGGTGGCATAATGGTTACATCGCTGGACTCTCATGTGACTGACAGCAGTTCAAGTCCCGGACCCAGTGGCTTCAAACTCACACCAAGCACGTGTGCATGCATGCCCAAAATTCCAAGAGAATGGAGGGGAAGGGACTGCAATATTGCCATCCCCCCTGGGGGGTGATCTCTCACTTTCTATCTCTGTCTCTCTCTGTCTCCCTGGCAAGTGCATGTGCCCTATAACAAAAATCTCTCAAAATAAAAAAAGAAAGAAAAAAAGAGTGGAGGAGGGGCAAAACCGTAATAGTATAAGCAAAGGGCCACGGGCTCACAAGGGGGCAGCAACCCCTCCCCAGTTCCTCCTTCACAGTCTAGGTTATTTTCATTTATTTTTAATTTGCCAAAGGGCATGTGTGCTCACTAGAGGAAGACGAGAGAGCAAGAGAAAGAGAGAGAGAGAGTGAGGAAGCTCTTCCCATGGGGCGTGGTTGCGCTGCCATCCCTTCTCCATCTCGCATTCCCTTTGGGATTTGGGGCACGCTCGCACATGCACTCTGTGGCTTCTCAAGCTACTGGGTCTGGAACCGAAAGGTGGCCACGGGGAATGTGGTTCATTTAACCACCATGTCAGGGGCTGGCCCTTACCCTAATTTCGATTGTATGGAAATAGTGGTGGGGAGGGAGAATGAGGTTACCATGGTCTCTGGGAACGCCCTGGGCTGCCCCAGACCAGAGGCCTCATAGGCACAGAGAGATCTGCTTGGGAAAGACATCTCTGTTAGGGAGACGAGAAGCCTGCAGGTTCCATCCAAGGTGGCACACTGCCCTCTGTGGGAGCCGATGGGGGGTCTGGCCGCTGTGGTCCAAGGGTACCCTGTAGGGAGGGGTGGCGGGGAGCTTTGTCAGGCCCAGGTGGCAGCTGCCCAGCCCAAGACAGAGGGCAGGCCAGACCTGGGGTTTCCTGTCCCGAATGCCATCCGCCAGCTGAGATTCCAGCCCACACGGGGCACCTGAGGGCTGCTGGGGAAAGGTGGGATCTATGTTCCCCACCCCAACCGACACCTCAGATTCAGCAACATCTCTCTGGCCAAGAGGCCAGTGCTCCTGCGGCTCCTAAATGATGGGGCAGGAGCCAGGTCATTAGGCAGAGGAGACTGTCATTAGTGTGGTGATGCCACCGCCACTCAGACAATGGCAAACAGTCATTAGCAGCTGTGTCACAGGGTGAGGCAATGCGGCTGGCTGGCTGGGGGAGGGGTGGTGCTGGGGGCAGGGAGCTCCCCACCCCCGCTGGGCTGCGAGTGTACACATACTCCCAAACAGAAGTGTGAGTAGGCAAACTCACATAGGGCCGAAACAGATGTAGCACACACTTGCACACACACACACACAGTCACAGGGGCTGTGAATAGACGCACGGGGTTTAAGTAGCTACGTCGCATAGTTGAACACTGAAACATTCACACATGGGGACAGGAGCAGGCATGTTTGCACACTCATATGCTCACATGTTCACACCTACATAAGTACAGGAGCCTGAGAAGACATACCCTCACACTTACACACACATTCACACTGTGGTATGAGTGGGTACCATGCACGCATTCACACACACAGGTGTGAGTAGACATACTAATCTGTTCACACAGGAGCAAGAAAACCTTTATTCACACACTTCTTACGGTCACACACCCATTCGCTCACACAGGCACACTTGCACATGAGGCAACCAGACACACTGCCAACTGAGCAGTTCAAATCCCAGCACCAGAGCCTTGAAGAACAAGCTAGGCACATATGTACATGTGCCCAAGGTTCCAAGAAGAAATGGAGAAGCATCGAGACCAGCAGCTGGCGTAATGGCTACGTCGCTGGACTCCCATGTAGTCAACCACGGTTCGAGTCCCAGACCCGGTGACTTAAACTCATGCTGGGCATGTGTGCGTGCGTGCCCAAGATCCCGAGAGGAGAATTGGAGGGGAAGGGATTGCAGCATGGCCATCCCCCTGGGGGATGATTTTTCACTTTCTGTCTCTGTTTCTCTGTCTTTCTGATGAGCGCACACACCCTATAGCAAAAACCTCTCCAAAAACAAACAGAAAAAAGAAATGGAGAAGCATTGCAGCATGACTACATGCCATGGGGGCGGGGGTGCTTTCTCCCCATTTCTGTCTCTCTGTCTCTCTCTGACATGCACACACATCCTCTGGCAAAGAAAAAAAAATCTAAAAAGAAAAAAAGGAAGCCCACTGGACGGGAGCCAAGGTGTCAGCAGGTTGTGTGCCTTCTGGAAGCCTCAAAGGAGACTCCACTTTCTTGCCTTTTCCAGCTTGTGTGAGCCACCCACATTTCTCGGCTCCCCTTCCATCTTCAGAGCCAGTAGTGGCTAGTCAAGTCTTTTTATTATTTTTATTTATTTATTTACTTATTCTGTGAAAGAAACAGAAACAGACACCCCCAACAGGTTCTTCACACTGCAATCCACCCCCAGTCTCAGCCAGCCAGATCATAGACGTGTACAGGGAGACCTTGGGTCCGGAACCTGAGACCTTCCCATGTGGCTTCAGCATTGCGAAGCTTGGTGTTACCACTGCACCAACGCGCTGGCCAGCAGTCAGCTCTTCCTCACATCATATCAGTGTTCTGCCGCCCTCTCCCACATCTAAAGGACCCTCGTGATTATTCTGGACCACACGGATAATCCAAAACCATCTCTCCAGCTCAAGGTCCGCAACTTCATCACAGCTGCACAGTTCTCTTTGTACCTACTCACGGGTTCCGGGGATGAGGACGAGGACATCTTTGGGAAGTGAGTATTCTGCCGACCACATTGGGCGGCATTGGACAAGTCACTTGGGTTCCCAGTGAGCGTTTTCAACTGTAAACTGAACATAACTACCAGTACGTGAGTTCGGCATGCCACAGGACTACTCAAAGCACAGTGCCTCACACCAAGATGGCCTCACTCAGTGCCCCCTCCCTCTTTAGTCTCCTGGGGACAGGTGAGAAGCTGCATGTGACAGAAGGTGGGTGAGGGACCTCAGAGGCCAGTAAGTGGGTCTGCGTGGGCTTGGACAGAAGTCGACAGTGGGCCTAGCACAGGGAGGGGTGTCTCTGTCTGTGGGGGTTCCCCGGACCTGGGTGACAGTAAGGCCCTACTGTGAGGGGAGCCACCCTGGTGCTGAGGGTATGCACCCCTGCAGTGACCTGGGCCAGGGGGCAGAGTGGGGGTGGGAGATGCAGCTCATGTTTATTCCTGCCTTTGTCTCCTTCATCTGCTGCCATCTGTTTGCAGGGCCCTGGGGCCAGCAGGCTGGCAGATGTCCCCAGACCAGGCTGCTATTACCGTGGTAAGTGTCGGCTACAGAACGATGACCCGGGAAGATAAACCCTGCGTAGAGGAATCGCCCACTAGAAAACAGCCATTAGTCCCTACTCTCACCCAGCACTGTTTGCCCACTCAGGAAGCTGCCAGGAGTGCTGAGAGGAGCTGAGGTCACCAGATCTCTGCTGGCTGGTCCTGCTCCATCCAGTAGCCCCAACAGGGGCCCTGTCGTGAGCCTACCTGCACCTGGGCCTGGCCACCCACCCTGCTCCCCTGCTCTTGTCCAATCACCCTTCCCTTCCCTCACCCATCTCACCCCAGCTCGTATCCCACCCTCCCCAGAAACTCAAAAACTTAGCGACCTGACAGGCATGGCAGCAAAACAGGATGCTCTGCAAGGCTGACCTACATGGGAGGGTCCCAGGTTTGTATCCAGAGGCCTTCCTGAGTAAGTCAGCCACACACTTGCCCATGACTGGGGACTGGCTGAGGCTGAGTGTGGGTTTCAGCACTGGGGCCTGCTGGGGTGCATTCGCTCTCTCTCATGCATGCTGTCTTTTTTCCTCTCACAGAAGAAAACAGAAAGAAACTTAAAAAAATAAATACAAAGGAAACAAACTCCCGCTTAACCCACAGACTAGGCCCCAAATAGCATGAAGGAACCTGGGCTGCTTGCTGAATTATGGGGCAGAACATCTGGGTGCAAATCCTACTCCCTTAAAAAGTGGAAGTGCACAGTGTCAGGAGGCGACATGGGTCACGTGAATGAGGACTTGTAAGCTTGGCACTGGTGTGAGTTCCTGGGACACAAGAAGGACTTCTTCCTCCTCCTGCCTGGGATGCAGTGGGCAGGGCTGGCCTCAGACTGGACTTGCATGGAGACCCCACACCTCAATGCATCAGGAGGCCCCCACAGGTGCTGGAGGAAGGAAATGGAAGGGGAGGGAGGGAGAAGACTCAAACGCCTTCACCCAGCAAGTCTCCATTAAACAGGTGCCGAATGCAAGCACTGAGCTCCCGCCGTGTGCCAGGTGCTGAGCCCAGGGATGCGAGTACAGAATGACCACACAGTGAGCAAGGCTTCGGATCACTAGACATGTCCTGAGAGCCTGTGTGGGCACAGAGGACCACAGCTGCATGGGACATCCCTGCTCAGTGGCAGCCTGGGCTGGTGGTTCCCCGCCTGACTGTGGCTTCCCAGGGCTGGCCAGCCCATGTCGGCTGGAGCAGTGCCCAGCACCGCCCTGGCTGCTGCCACCTGGCAGGCTCCCAGATCACTCAGCAGGGACTAGAACTTGGTTTCGGTCTTTTATCAGGCCAGATAAAGGCAGCAGCGGAAGCTCGAGGGAGCGATCTGGGCTTACAAAAAGCATCTCCAGACGCCCTCTCACTCCCAGCCTCCCTTTGTCAGCTGCCCTGACTTTCTAGTCCCCTTTGTTCATCTCTGAGAGCAGCCCCAGGGGGTGGAGGGGAACACCTCCTAAGAGCTGCACACAGTGCCAGGAATGGAAGAGCCAGGAGACCGGGCCCAGCTGGGCAACTGGCCTAGGGGCAGGGCTAGACAGGAAGAGACTCTGGAGCTCAGCTCAGAAAGCACTGGTCTCTGAGCAGAGGGGACCTGGAATTGCAGGGCGGGTACCTGTCACAACCCCATCTCCATTACCTTCCCCTATTGCTCAGCCCAGGAATAGGCACCCAGAACACCTTTCCTGAACAAATGCCAAATAGCAGGGATAGGTAAGATTGGTGGGCGGGCCAGTAGGTGGCATGGCGGTTAAGGTGCTGGATCCCACATGGCTAATTGTGTGGTTCGAGTTCCAGACCCAGTACCCAAAATCCCAAGAGGAGAATAGAGAAGGGATTGCAGCATGGACATCCCCTCTGGGGGGTGATTTTTCACTTTCCCTCTCTCTTTGTCTTTGTCTCTCTCCAGCAAGTGCAGCTGACCTATGGCAAAAATCTGAAAAAAAAAAAGGATAGGGGCATCCAGCGGCATGGTGGTTAAGATGCTGGACCCCATATGGCTGACCATGGTTCAAGTCCCAGACCTAGTGGCTTGAAAAACCACGCCAGGTGTGTGTGCAGGCATGCCCAAGATCCTGAGAGGAGAAGAGGAGAAGGGACTGTGGTGTGGCCAATCCCACTAGGGGATGGTTTCTTACTTTTCCTCTCTCTCTCTCTCTGTCCCTCTCTGGCAAGCATACAAGCCCTCTGGCAAAATCTAAAACAAAAGAAACCAATAAAACCAGCAAATAAACCTTTAAAAAAAATTGGTGGGCTCCTACTTTAACCAGGATTCTGACTGAGCACGGGGACTCAGAGCAAGGAAATCAGGATCCAGATCCTGTCTAAAGGGGAGAAGAAAGAAGAGTTCCTTACCTGTGAGAGCCATAGAAACAAGTGCTAACAGAGGCCACACTATGCATTAATTCAACGACTGCATACCTACTGTGTGCTGGTGGCTGGAGGACGGTAAACACAACAAAGTCGCTGCCCTGGAGGAGGTTGCTTTTGAGAGTTCTCCCACTCAAAGGAGGAGAGGGGGCTCCCTGGGGAGACTTTCTGCAGGGAGGAGCAGGCCTAGCCAGCTGAGGGCCTGTGTGAGGGCCCAGTGGCAGACCACGGGAGGGAGGAGAGACACTGTCTGAGGACTGGGAAACGCAGGCTATAGGAAGGTTGGACAGCCAGGCACAGTGGGCGGCATGAAGGACCTGGCATTTCCTCCCGGGAGAGCAAGAGGTGAGAGGATGTGGTGTTCCCCAGGAAGCACGGCTGCCTCTGCTGCCCCTTGGCCCTCCCTGGGAGGCGTCATGCAGCAGAGGAAGTGGGCCCTCCCGCCAGTTTCCCTGTGTGCAACCCTTCTTCCTGCTCCTCTCCACCCTGGAGCAGGCCTGACAACTGTGCTGATGCTGCTGGCATGAGCCCAGCACCCACATACCAAGCACAGGCTGGGGCTCCCTGGCGAAGCTGGGCCTGCCCTGCATCCAGACTAGGGAAAACAGCCCCTCATGCTCCATCTCTGAGTCCTGAGTGGAAGGAGAGGGCCCGGGGCACCTGGGGCTTGGTCCCCATCTGCCCTGGGTGCATGTCTGACCAGCTTCTAGGCCCGGTAGGGCCTCTGCCAACCTGAGGAGGCTCCATCTTTCCTTTGCAGGGAGGACCCTAATCTCACCCACCCAAGGCCCTGAGAGGAAGTCATCAGTTCTCACCAGATGCTGAACAAGAGGCCAAGAAGTAGATGCTAGGCCTCTGGAAGCCACCACGTGGTGGTCTGCGTGACCCCCACAGGAGGACCCACTGTAACCCGGGGCTCATCTCAGCCAGGCCAACTCAGCCTGGCTGATAGGCAGCCAGGTTCAATGGGGGTTCCGGAGCCAGCCTCCAGAGACCGGGTGCCCCAGCCTGCCTTCCCTCCACCACCCACCCAAGGCCTGTTGCTCCACAGCCTCCCAGAGCTCTTGTTGTGTCCTGTGTCGCAATACGATGTGGTAGGCGCCCCATGTGAAGGATGGCCTTTTACTCATGCCAGAATGAAAGAGTCATCAAGCTCCTCACAGGGGCCAGGCCTTGGGATACTGAGGAAACAGAACCACCATCCCTGTGCACGCAGAGCAGTGCAGGGCCCAAGGCCGCGCGGGTACCCTACACACAATCAATAATCACAAATTGGGCTAAGTGCTATGAGGACGGGGAAGAGGAATTAGCCTGTGCTCACCCCTCCCCAACCCCAGAGGCCTGCCCTGATACAAAGCACACGCCTGCCGCCTTCCCCAGCACACCACGCACTGAGGACTTGGGTCACGCTGGAACCTGAGTACCTGCGAAAGTGCCGGGCTTGACAGCAGTTTGAGGAACGTGGGTTGAACCAAACTAGACAAAAAAGAAATTTTTTTGAGAGGTTTTTGCTATAGGGCACGTGCGCTCGCCAGAAATACAGAGAGAGACAGAGAGACAGAAAGTGAGAAGTCACCCCCCAGGGGGGATGGTCATGCCACAATCACTTCCCCTCCATTCTCCTCTCAGGATCTTGGGCACACATGCACAGGCACCCAGCATGAGTTTAAGCCACCGGGTCCAGGACTCATACTGCAGTTGACTACTTGGGATCCAGCGACATAGCCATTACACTAACTGCTGGTCCCAAAAAGAAATCTTTTTAAAAATTTCATTTTTCAACAAAAAAATGAAACAATGGTCATCCATTACATGCCCCGAGCCTATGGTGAACCAGGTCACAGCCCCAGGAAGGTTCACAGGTCAGTGCTGTCCTAGACTCGGAAGGGGTGGTGGGCATGTTGTGCGCTGCACTGCCCAACATGTACATGCGACACCACTCCGCAGTCCGAAAATGTGGCCAGTGTGGTGGGAGTGGGAATGGCCAAGAAGACGAGGGCCTGGAGGAGATGGGGACCCGGAGAGAAAGCAGGGCAGCCCTAGCAAGGGAGCCTGTCATGCCGAGGAATCTCTAGTCCTCCCCCTACGTCACAGGAGTTCCTAAAGGACTCGATGCACGAGGATGAAGCACCTTGATTGTGGCTTCCAAGGGAAGTCGTTGATCCCTGATCCCCAGAGCACCTCCGACGGCTAGTAATACCAGCTCTCGTCATCCTCCCCGGCCCACACAAACACTCCCTCACCTCCACAGCGCTCGATGCTACCCGGCCTGAATCATCCTTCCCACCCTGCCTGGACAGCTTTTCCTCTTCTGTCAAGCCTTGGCTCACCGTCCCTCCCTGGAAAGTACCCCAGATACCCTCACCTGGATTAACGCCTCTTCAACACCTCCATAGCCTGCATGGCACGTGGAGAGGGCTTAATGCACACTGCTATAACTTCTCTATCCTGGCTATAAATTCCTTCTTGGCCCTTGCCCTTCCCAAACCCACAATCAGCTCTTTAATCCCCAGCTCTGGGCCCGCAAAAATTCTTTTTTTTTTTTAGTTTGTTATAGGATGTGTACACCCAATGGAGAAGGCGAGAGAGAGAGAGAAAAGGAAACTGAGAAATCACCCCCCCCCCAGGGGGATGGCCATACCACAATCCTTTCTCTATTCTCCTCGTAGAACTTGGAATGCACACACAAATGCCCAACCTAATTTTCAAGTCTCCAGGTTTGGGGCTCAAACCACGCAGTCAGCCTTATGAGACCCAATCACCTTAACCTCCACACCACCTGCTGGCCCAGTTCTTGGAAATTCTTATCACATAGTCATGGGTTTCTCAAAGTCCCTCAGCCCCAGTCTAGACTGTCTTGGGACCTGAGCAAGGCCTGCCTTCCAAAGCCCCAGGATAGCCCTGCTCTAAAGGAAATCCCAAGAAAGGAGGCCAAGAGTTCCCAGCCTCTTTGGGAAGAAACACCAACCCAAGTAATGACCACAGGGGTGGGTGTGCATTTAAGAGAGAGGATGAGAGGTGGCCAGGAATGTGAGCAGGCTCATCCTGGAGGAGTGGCCCTCCTTCTCATCATACCCTGAACTGAGACTAAGATTCTCCCCTGCCCAGAGAGTCTTGTCTGTCTCATCAAGAGCTATGTTCTGCCCCAGAGCCCAAGCCAGGCTGGGATGTGCTCACTGCAACATTCATCCAGCAGCTATGTCTCCCTCTCCTACACGATCAGTGGCCTGCTTCTCACAGGCCGAGCCTCGGGCCAAAGAGGAGGCGCTGAAACTATGACACAGGGATGGCTCCTGTTCCCATAGGCCCCGTCAGCCAGGCTTCAGGGTAGGGGGAGAGGGGGCGAGCCCATACACCTATCCTCCCCCAGGGTGACAGATAGAGGAGCCCTGGTCCAGCATTCAGAGTGGGCAGGAGAACTGAAGGGGACGGACAGACGGAAGCCAAGGGAAAGGCAGCACCAGAACGTGGAAACACAAAGAGAGGAGAGGACGGGACTGAGAGGGAGGCAGAGCAGAGGGTGGGGAGGAGCAGGAGACGGAAGGGGAAGGAGAGGGAGAAAATGAGAATTCCCTTGCATGAGGTGCGGTTCCAGGAGGCTGTGGGAACCTGCCAAGTCTCCTTACCATTCTTCTCCCGCCCCCCCCGCGCCCCCGTCATTTCACTGCCTCCTGGATGAGCGGGCCGGCACCTCGTCCCCAGTTCCTCAGCTATGTCTCCCTCTCCTACACGATCAGTGGCCTGCTTCTCACAGGCCGAGCCTCGGGCCAAAGAGGAGGCGCTGAAACTATGACACAGGGATGGCTCCTGTTCCCATAGGCCCCGTCAGCCAGGCTTCAGGGTAGGGGGAGAGGGGGCGAGCCCATACACCTATCCTCCCCCAGGGTGACAGATAGAGGAGCCCTGGTCCAGCATTCAGAGTGGGCAGGAGAACTGAAGGGGACGGACAGACGGAAGCCAAGGGAAAGGCAGCACCAGAACGTGGAAACACAAAGAGAGGAGAGGACGGGACTGAGAGGGAGGCAGAGCAGAGGGTGGGGAGGAGCAGGAGACGGAAGGGGAAGGAGAGGGAGAAAATGAGAATTCCCTTGCATGAGGTGCGGTTCCAGGAGGCTGTGGGAACCTGCCAAGTCTCCTTACCATTCTTCTCCCGCCCCCCCGCGCCCCCGTCATTTCACTGCCTCCTGGATGAGCGGGCCGGCACCTCGTCACCAGTTCCTGAGACCAGGGGCCAAGGGACAGGCTTGAGCAGGGGTGCAGGGGTGAGATTTCTGTCCCTGGACATGTAAAGAGCAACCAAGACAGGCTCCAGGATCTCAGAGGGGCATGAGATGCACCTGTAGTTTCCAGCTGGGACACCCACATTCATCACCACCCGAACCCCCTGACAGGTTTGTTTGTTTGTACACCCAGGAGGGACGTGGAGATGCCTAGTCACTGAGACGGCCCCAGAGAGACTGACGTTCCCCCCCGCCCCCACCTCCCATCTCCCACCCCTATGAAGCTTCCCACTTCCCTGGCCTCTGAACCCCTGGGTGCTTCAAACTCTGAACACATCAGGCCACATCAGGTCCTCTGTGAGGGCGAGACCCTCACTGGCTGGGGAGGGGTTTCCCTGCTCACAGAAAGCAGGCTGGGCCAGATGGTACCCAAGGATGCCAGCTGAGGGGTTGAGGGAGGCATGGGAAGAATGAGGGGAGGGGAGAGGGCAGGGAACAGGAAGGAGGGGGAGAAGCTAGGGCTGGGTGGCTCTGTGAAGTTTTGTTTGTTTTGGGCTTTTTTGCTGCTGTTCCAGTTTGGCAGCCAGAGCTTTGACAATCAAAGATACCTCTGCTGACAGCACCCAAGGGAGACTGCCGGGCCAGAGGAGCAGGAGGTGGGACCCACACACCTCCCTGTGGCGAGCATACCCTCCATTCCCCAGGGAGGCGAGAGCACCCCAAGGAAAGCCACCAGTGCTTCAGCCCCAGAGACCAGCCCTGCAAAGCCCACCCAAAGCCAGGAAGAGGGCCATTGGCTATGAGGAGCACAGCTCAGGGGCTGAGCCAGGGGAGCCAGCAAAGAACACAGCGATGCTAAGGAGAACTGAGAATCCAGCTAAAGAGAATTAACAGCGTCTGCCCTAAAAGGGGCCCTGAACGGTAGGAAGGCAGCTCCTTTTCTACCCCACTGTTCTTTCTGGGGGTCCCAAAACTTAGAGGCTAAGATAAGAGTCGGAGCTCATCCTCCAAGTGTATGGGTTCAGAGCCATCACTGAGGGCTGGATGTGGCCCAGCGGTAAAACTCAAGGCTCTAAGAGTCTGGCATGGGGAGGCAACAGGGCTGCATCTGGAGACCTCCCCGAACATGCTGGACATGTACGTGCCAGGATCCAGGGCGGGCTGAAGCTGGGGTGGATGGCGCATGAAGAGTTAGGGGTGTTCTGTCTGTCTCTCTCCCTCATCGGAGAAATAAATAAATAAGCTGACAAAAAAATCTATCACTGACAAAGGGTAACCTGAGACCAGGCACTTAACCCCTGCAAGCCCCAGTTTTCTCCACTATAAATTGGGGGTGATGAGAAGTCAAGCCTCTACCTCTGCAGTGGTTGTTATGAGGATGAAGGCAGCTGTTCTGGGAAGGCATCTGGACACACCTGACATATGGGCTGTTATTTGGACATTGGCGGAGCCCAGAAGCCACAGCCTGCCCCCTCCTTCCCTACCGACCACACTGGGGTGATCACGCTGAGGAAGACAAGGTGCCACATCTACCCACATGCCATTCAGATTCCAGGCCAGGGAAGAGAGGGTGGGAGGTTGGGGTGGGCCGTGCATGTAGGTATCACATGGGGGAGGGGCAACATGTGGCAGAAGTGGGCATAGACAGCATCGCAGTGACACAGTGACTCAGAAGTGCCTCATCAACCCACCCAGCATCAGATACTGGGATCCAGGTACAAGATGGACTGTGGCCTCCACATAGAGCCCTAGGAGCCAGAAGTGCCCAAGTATGGGACAGAGGCCTAGACTGGGAGGTGAGGGCTCAGGGCTCCCCTCTTGGGGTCTGATCCCAGAGGTGGCTGAGGTCCTTTCCATCTCTGGCCACCTCCAGATGCACGCTCCTCTGCTCCAGCCCCCACTGCCCAGGGTGGTGTGCCAGGACCAGGGTAGATAGAGTCAGCCAGGCATCTGAGCATCTGTGTAATCAGGAGGCAGCAAGAGAGCTACGACTCCCTGGAAGTGGGAACCACAGGAAGGTGCGAGGGACCACCCGGGGCTGAACATGGGGCAATGTCTTTTCTATTTCTCCTTCATAACGAGTAAGAAAGAGGTGAAGGGAGCTCGAGAGAGGGAGTAGTCTCACGGGCCTGAGGACAAAGCTGCACTTGCACGTGGCCCTCTCCCCTAGCGGACCCAGCTCCCCAAGGGCACCGAGGAGCCAGTGGTAAGCTTGAGTTTTGAACCAAGTCTTACTTTCCAAAAGCCAAGGGCTCTGACCTTGGCCATCTATCGGGTCACCTGAAAAGTCATGACGCATTTCTGCACAGAAAAACACAGACAAACACATCATGGCTTTTCCGATGACTCAATATTTCCTTCCAGCCTCTGAAACAGTGGAGTACACTTAGTAGGTCCTCAGTAAATTACCACAGGAAGGATGGAAGGACGGGAGAGCAGGAAAGGGGGAAGATAATCCAGCAAGACTCTGGCAGCTAGAACATAACAAAGGTGCTGTTTTCCAACGCCAGGCTGGCACTGCCCCTGGCATCGCTGCCCTGCACGCAGGAGCTCAGGGCCTGTGCTTGCCTCATCCTTTCCAGAAGTATTCGAGTCCAGTACGTCAGCCTCCAGGTATGCAGGAAGGTCTGCGGGGAGAGGTGCTCTTCTCTCTCCTTCCTAGTTGAATCTGCCTTCCTCCTGTCTCCTCCCCACCCACACCCAGCCTGACCACCCAGCTGGCCCCGCCTTGGAGCCAGGCCCAGTTTGGTTGGGGGCCTGTGACCATCCCTCAGCCAGGCAGCTGCCCTGCCAGGGAGGGAGACGAGATCTACGCGGGGGAGGGGCGGTAGCACCACATCATCTAACAGGTTGGTCTGGCTGGGAGGCGTCTCCCTCCTGCAGCTAATGAGTGCTGTGCGACAGGTGTTTGCTCAGACTCTGGCAGCTAGAACATAACAAAGGTGCTGTTTTCCAACGCCAGGCTGGCACTGCCCCTGGCATCGCTGCCCTGCACGCAGGAGCTCAGGGCCTGTGCTTGCCTCATCCTTTCCAGAAGTATTCGAGTCCAGTACGTCAGCCTCCAGGTATGCAGGAAGGTCTGCGGGGAGAGGTGCTCTTCTCTCTCCTTCCTAGTTGAATCTGCCTTCCTCCTGTCTCCTCCCCACCCACACCCAGCCTGACCACCCAGCTGGCCCCGCCTTGGAGCCAGGCCCAGTTTGGTTGGGGGCCTGTGACCATCCCTCAGCCAGGCAGCTGCCCTGCCAGGGAGGGAGACGAGATCTACGCGGGGGAGGGGCGGTAGCACCACATCATCTAACAGGTTGGTCTGGCTGGGAGGCGTCTCCCTCCTGCAGCTAATGAGTGCTGTGCGACAGGTGTTTGCTCCTCAGTCCCCAGCCTGCCCTGGCCGTGACCGGAGCCAGCTGCCTGCCACCCCTCCAAGGCTCTCTCGATCATCCCCAGGCCCTCCCGCTTCCGGGCCGGGGGGCCGTGATGGCCTGCCACTCCTGCGTCGTTGGCTTCAGCAGCCTCAGCAGCTGTGAGGTGACCCCGGGGGGCAGCCCCCGGCCTGGGACCTCGGGATGGGCCAGCTGCGGGGCCCCCCGGCCAGGCTTCAGCTCCCGCAGCCTCACAGGCTGCTGGCAGACTGGCACCATCCCCAAGGTGACCGTGAACCCCAGCCTGCTGGTGCCCTTGGACCTCAAGGTGGACCCAGCTGTCCAGCAGCAGAAGAACCAAGAGAAGGAGGAGATGAAGGTCCTCAATGATAAATTCGCCTCTCTGATTGGCAAGGTGAGCAGAAGGGAGGGTCCTGAAAACTAAGGTCTGCCGGGCCTGGGCAGGTGGCTGAGTGCTTCAGTTCCCTGAGCCTTGGTCATGGTGCCCCACCCCTGCCCCCAGCCAATGGGGACACTGCACTGCTAACACAGCAGACTGACGAAGCTGAGAGATGGGGAGGCTGTCCCAGATCCAGCCTGGCAATGGGGGAGAAAGGGACCTCAGGATGACCTTTGCAGGGGTCTGGACAACAACATGCAGCATGGACTGGGGGCCACCTAGCCCCCTCCCCAGGAAGGGACTAGGGAGGAGCCTGGCCCAGAGAATGTCTCCTCACAGCTGCAGCTGATGGAGGCATGGTCAGCAGCCCTGCTCTGAAAAGGTGGGCAGTGGAGGTGACCTCCCAAGAGCCCACCCTCCTGTCTCCTCCTCAAGCCCCTGACCCTGCAGCAGCCCTCTCAGGCCGCCACACTCAGCTTCCTCACCACAAGAGCTATGTGGGGCTGTGGAAGGAGGCTGCTATGAGTGAAGACGCATGCAGCCTTGGCCTTGGCCTGTCAGGAGAGAGGAATGCAGGGGATGGATACCTGAGTCAGAACCAGCAGCCAGCAGGCCCCACCTGAGCAGAGCAAGAGAGTCCCCTGCCCCTGCCCCCCTGACCCGCACTTCCTATGCTCCACTGCATGACCTGCCACTAGTCTGGGGCATTCAAACCTGTCTCCATCTATGGGAGTCTTGTCTGCATCCTCCCTAACCTGCTCCTTCCTCACCTCCTCCCAGACACCTTTTGGGAAGGAGACCCTCAGCTCTTCCCCTTCCTGTCCTGCCCCATGCTAATAATCATAGTTGTCACAGCTGCGCTGGTTAATTGCTTGCTGTGTGCCCAGGGCTATGCCAGATGTTTCACATATTTGTCTCTATTTCCATCAACAATCTATGAAAGACAACATTTCTGTGCCATTTTACAGATGAGGAAGGCCTTACCTTCCTGATCCTCCCAACCTTCTGCCCCGGGCTGCAACTACATCTTGGTCTGATTCTGTGTTCCTTTGCCTTTTTCGGGTCTCCCCATGTGCTGGAAGCACAGAGGTGGCAGAGTGAAGAAGGTATGCGTGGAGCATGCACGGAGTACCGCTGTGCCTGGCCCTCTGCAGGGACCTGGCCGACGGGATGTAACGTAGCCCACACAGCCACACCGTGCAGGTCTCGTTTTCCCAACTGTGCAGATGAGGACACTGAGGACCAGAGAGGTTACATGCCTTGCCTGAGGTCACAAACCAGCAAGTGTTACAGTCTGGGTTTAACTCAGGTTGGTGAGACACAATGTCAGTAGTCTCTGAGGTGGGAGGAATTTTCTACTCCCCATTTGTATGCCTAGGCCAGAGTCTACCCCTGGAGGACCTGGGTGCGGTACACAGAGGGACATGACAACCACCCACCAAGATGGAGCATCCCTTCCCCCAGCTCTGGCTACCCAGCTGGTTTTCCCTGGGAGAACAGCACAGCTGCCCCAGGGAGGCAGGTCCCTGCAGAGCCTCTTCGCCAAACCTGGGTTAATCCCTTAAAAGGAAGGCTTCGCTGAGCTATGTAATTTGGCTTGGGTGGCTTTTCTCCCTCGAACACCAATGCTTTCATCAGCTTTTGCCTCTGCCATGGGGTGGAAGGACACAGGGAGGGGCCCTTAGGATTGGGGTCCTGGCCCAAAGGCCAGCACAGTGCCCCTAAAGGTCTTTAGTACAACTGAAACCTCCCAATCTCAAGGCCTGGTCTTGAGAGGGAGTCCATTCGGGGTGGGATGTAGGGAGCCATGGGTGCCAGTCCTTTGGGGGCCCTGTTGCTGGGTCTGCCCGGAGGAGTTCCAGGTAGCCTTTCAACTCTGCAGAGAGGTCTGTTAGCTCAACCTTCCCCGTGTCCTTGCAAAGTTCTGGGGATTGAGGGATGAGGGGACAGGCAGCAATTAAGGCAGGATCTGGAGCTGCATTGCTGGGATTGAGTCCTTGCCATGCACTCTCGGGCCAAGTGGGTCACCTCTCTGTGCCTGAGTGACACTGATGTACAGAGCTTGTCAGAACCAAATGGAATCACTTGGAAATGCAGTGAGAACATTCCTGGTACGTGGCATTGCTCCCAAAATGTTAACCAAAAACAAGGAAGTGGACCTGGCCCAGCGAGCTCCTGGAACCCAGTAAGGCCTTACAGACTGGGCCCTGGAGAAGGCCAGGGGGTGGGGGTGTGCTGCTAGAAGAGGGAGTGAAGGAACTTGATATTTAGAGGGTGCTGCTCAGGGCTGGAGAGAGATTTGTGGGTACAGGGAGAAGCCCAGGGGAGAGATGCCATGACCAGTGGTGGGGGAAGGATTCCAGCTCCACTTCCTCTTCTGGGCCCTCTGAGGCATGGAGAGAAACCAGAGCACCGAGGAAGAGGGGGTGGAACGGGGATGGGGAGAGACTCCGGGAGTGGGCAGAGGCCCTAGAGCAGTGCTTTCTTCCACCTGCTAGCTGTTCTCCTGGGCGCACCACTCGCTCTCTCTGTGCCTCAGACTCCACTGCTCTGCTCTGCTATAGAGGTGGCCTGAGCTCTTGCCTGTGGAAAGCCTGGAAAGGCCACAGTCATGAGATAAGGGGTGAGAAAGCAGCAGAGGACAAGCAAGGCAGGAGAAGGCGGTGCCTACCCAGTGCTGGCTGGGCCTCTTACCTTCATGCGCAGACAACGGAGGGGATGGAGATGGGAGAGGACAGCCAGTTAAGGCAGTTGTAGAGAGGAAACCCAAGAGCAATGGGGAAATACTTGGTGACCAAGGCTAGGACAATGTCTTCCCAAAGCCCGTGTGACCCTAGAAGTCACTCAAACAACCTTCCTGATGAGAAACCCTGAAGCTCCTTGGGCACAGCCAACTTCCTGCAGGAGGCAGGGGATTTGGTTGCCCTTACCTGAGAAGTAAGGCTCACATGCCCCAGGGGCAATGCCCTGCAGGCAGGGGGACCTGGAGCTCTGAAGGGGCCAGCGTCCCTCCCCTGAAAAGCTCCCCAACCCTAGCCTGGAGCCCCAGTTTAGATTGCTCAGTTTTCCCTATGAAAAATTCATCTTTCCCCACAATCTCTGCCCTGGCCTGGCCCTGCTTTTCAGCCCAGTGGCCCAGGACCAGTGAGTCTTATGCTTCCAGACCTCGGTTTCCTCATCTGTAAGTTGTGGAGTGGGGAGCAGATAGACTCTAAGGGCCCCACTAAAGCCATCCCTGTGTGATCTAGGGTGGGGGATCACCCAGAACAGAGAGTAGGGGGAGAGAGGTGAGGGCTCAGCAACTGCAGTGGTGTGGAGGCAATTAACCTGGCACCTCCTGGGGCTCGGGGATTATGGGTCCTCCCTAGGCTTTTGTTCCAAGAGGGAGGAGTCTTCATGCAAGGAATGTCCTGGGTGGGGGATGAGTTTCCATCCCTACCAACCCACGCAACAGGGGAGTCCTCAGGGAGGAGACGAGGGCTGCCCCTCTTATCCCTAAGACCATGGGTGTCCTCCGGCATGACTGGCTGGCCAAAGGCAAACCATGTCCCAGTGGGCTCGTGCTGAAACATTGGCTTGAAGTTAGACTGAGGAAAGAACTTTCCGGTGAGACGGTTTTTCTGAGACTCATGGGTGGAGGAAAGAGACTCACATCTTTCCTCTCACCCCACCCTCAGAGTAAACATGGGGCTCCTACTTGTCAAAGCGGAAGGAAGGTGGGGTGAGCCCTTACCTCCTTCCCCTAACGCTCCCTCTCACACACACAAAACAGGGCCGAAACCCTCTGGACCTGCAGCCCTACCGAACCTGTGGGTTGTGGCTGTGGCAGCTGGTAGGCTTAAGGCTGGCCTCAACTAAAGCTCCCCACTGCAGATGGGAGGGAGCCAGGGGGCTACAGGCCACAGCCATCGTGGCCATCGTCGAATGGTGCCATCCAATACTCCAGCTGGCATTGGCCACTGTGAATGTCAGAGGTGACTTCCTAAGGTCATCAGTGTATCTTAGACAAAAGGGAAAACCAGCAGATGTGGGCAGGGCAGTGAGAAAGAGAGGGGCTCCATCTGGCACCCAGATTTAGGACAGGGAGCCCCTGAAGGTCCAGAGTGGGTAGTAGCCATCAAAAATGTCCGTCTGGGGAGCTGGGTCACCAGACTGTGTGACCCTGATGACAAGTCACATGGCCCTCCTGGGCCTCCATGGCACGCTCTATAAATGAAGAATATAGACCCACTGATCCCAGGGCTCCTGGAAGCTCTTTCCAATTGGATTCTTGGAACCCAGGCCAACAGCGCCAGCAGTAGGGGGAAAGACGCAGCTGTCTGCCTGCGGTCATGGGGAGCAATGCTGGGCTGGTTATCACAACATCCTGACCAAAGCAGCACTCACTGTCCAGGAGCTGGGCCCCAGCCACCCCTCCTGCCTGGGTAGGCGGCCCACATCCAGGCACCAAGGACATAGCAACACCAGGAGGGGAGCAAGCGGCTCCCATTCTGATAGGGAGGGTGGCAGGTCAGGACATGAGGAGCAGATCATCTGAGGGCCTTAGTACTAAAAGGAAGTGGGGAGTCTTTCAAGCCAAGCGCTAGGGAGGGCTTCTTGCAGGAGGGGAGCTGGTGGGGAAAGCCCAGGATGGTGAGCAGAGAGCCTGGGGCAGGGAACCTGGAGCCTAAAGAGTATGGGCAGGATGGAGAAGAGGAAAAGGGAGCCCCAACCAAGCTAGGCTGCACTAGGAAAGAGCATCCCCAAGAGGCAGCCTGGCCACAGGCGGGAGGCAGAGCTTGAGAGCAGCATCAGGGCTCAGGGCCCTCCTGTCCTTACCCTCACAGCATAACTGACCCTACCTGGAGGCCGAAGCCAATGCAGGAAGGCAGCTGGGGTCCTGGGACTCCAGCAGCAGACAAGAGATTCTAAAGGCCAGCTGTCTGGATCCAGCCCTGGTGCTGCCACTTACTGACTTTGTGACCTTGGGCAGGCCCTTTCCCCTCCCTGTGCCTGGTTTCCTCATCTGTAGAACGTGGCTGATGGTAACACCTCCTCTGAGAGCTGTTGCAGGGATCTCAGGAGTTACCAGGGTCACGCACTCAGAATAAGGCCTGGCACACAGCAGGGGCCACGGAGACATATTTGCTGTTGCTGTGCAGCTTTCCGAGCTTTCCCCGTCTTCCTCCCTACAGCCCTCAAAGTAAACAGGTGTTCTCACTCCCAGCTTCTAGCGAGGGAAACTGAGGCCAGGAGAGGCTACAGTCCTAAGCTGTGAAGAGAATTAGCACCTAAGCACTAACCTTACCGTGCTGAGTTTCCAAAAGAGACCAGACTTGTCATGGCAGATGAGGGACGGGGCAGATGGGCCTCTGCCAGCCCACATTCCTTGGGGTCTCTCATGCCAGGCCCCAGGCGGGCATGGGAGCCTGTCCTATCTTCAGCACTCCAGTTCCCTCCCTCATCAAGCCAGCCCTGCCCTCACCTAGGAAAGCTTTGCTAATTGGCTCCACCTCGCTCGATCCTCTCCTTATCTCACCATCTTCCATTTGAACGATCAGTCACTAGAGATCAACAACAGATGTGTTCTGGGTTCTGAGACCGCTGACTGAGGGCCTGGGAGGGTGTACACAGATGAGCTGCCCCTTCCCAGGGAGGCCCCCGAGGGGGTGCACTGCCTGGCCTGGGGCCTTGGCGTCCGATGGGAACACACCTGGCCCACTCGGCTCCCTCCTACTCTCCCAGGTACAAGCCCTGGAGCAGCGCAACCAGCTGCTGGAGACGCGCTGGAGTTTCCTGCAGGGCCAGGACTCAGCCGCCTTCGACTTCGGGCATCTCTACGAGGAGTACCAGGGTCGACTGCAGGAGGAACTGCGCAAAGTGAGCCAGGAGCGGGGACAGCTGGAGGCCAACCTGCTGCAGGTGCTCGAGAAGGTTGAGGAGTTTCGAATCAGGTAGATCATGCCTGGTGGAGGCTGGGGGTAGACACTGAAGTGGGGACCACACTGTGCTCCAGTGGGAGGCACCCATGTCAGAGAAAAAGGAGAGAAGTTACGGAACATTCCTCTACTCCAGACATATTTACTGGGGCCTAATGTGTATCAGACTGTATTCCGAATATTGGGGAGGGCCAGCTCCATGGCACACTGGCTTCAAGAGAAGCCGGATCCCGCGTGGTGACTGTAGTTTGAATCCCAGGCCAGTCAACCTGAAGCACAGGGCATGCACATGAGTGCCCAAGATCCACCCGGCTAGAGTACTAGAGGAAGGGGATCATGGCGTGGCCAGAGGGCTTTCCTCTCTCCCGTTCTCATTCTCTCTCTTACACACACACACGCACACACACACACACACTATTGTGAATAAAAGGGGGGTTTTTGTTGGGTTTTTTTGTGGGGGGGTTGTTTGTTTGTTTGTTTTTAATTACTGGGATATGGCTGGGAACCTATAGCCATCATCCCCAAATAGCAACCTTGACAAGGAAATCATCTTGTGCTGGTCACAGCTACACCTGTGCTCACCGGCTCTCGGGCTCCATCGCCACCCAAACCCGACTTGGGCAGCACTCCTTGTGCACCTGGAAGCACACGAGCTCTTGCCTATGCATTGCTCTGGCGATGGGAAATCATCACTTCCACATGACAACTTCATCTGGAAGAACAACAAATCTGCGGATATGGCTTTGGATTTGGACTAGACTGGAAATAGCCAGGGTGCAGGCAGGGGATGGGAGGGGTGGGGCTGTTTGAATAAAGAAGTCATCCCTGTCAATAATGTGATCAGGGATTGAGGTAGACTTGGAGCCAGGGAGACGAGAAAAACACAGCCTGCAGATGCTTAGTGGAGAAGACAGACAGACAGACAAAGAGCTGGTGGGCAGTAGCACCCAACCATTGTATCAGAAGGGGTGAATCCTCACCACCCCTCATTGGCTTTGTGACCCTGGGCAAGGGTCACTAAGCTTAGTCTGTGACTGCATGAGATGGGAGTGACCATGGTTGGGACCAACCTGGGGCTACAGCATGAGGAGGAGGTCAAGAGGTCAGCAGGAGCCTGGCAGCCATGAGTGGCAGCTTTGCTATCCCTGGAAGGATGAAATTCCCAGCACACAGTGGGAATTCTTTGACACAGGTTTGCTAAACTGAAGGACAAGTTGAGCACTTGGGTTGCCCAGAGAAGACGTGACCCTCCCTGACCAGGCAGTGGACAGGGCTTCTGGGACAATAAGGTTGAGACAGAATTTGACTGAGGGGAGGACAGAGTATGGCTGAAGCCCTAGTCTCCCCTCCCAAGCCCTGCCAGTCTGAGATGAGGCCCATGATCTCTGGAGCAGCAATCCAGGCAGGGCTGGGGCTGGAGGAGGGCAGTGGCAGCCTATCTGGGCAGGGCTCTGGGCTATGGCTCAGCTCACCCACTGCCTCTGAGTCCCACCTGCCTGGCCCTAGGAAAGCACATGTGGCATCCGATGCTCATTCTCAGCTGCCAACTTCTTGAAGTCGGACCAGGACCATGATGAGGGCAGTCACGTCAGCTCACCACAATTCATGACTCATCTCACTGATAGCTAGTAGGTCTTTGGCCCTTGAAGGAACAGCAAACGGCAGAACTGGATGGCAGTCTTGGATCCTCTTTCTGAGTGAAACAGAGGCCCAGAGAGGCCAGGCTTGTTCCCCGTCACGCAACTGCGCATGCTAAGTCCCACCTCTAAACTCAGCCAGCTGTGGCGTGCAGCTGCTCCCACGAGCCCAGCCAGATCGTGTCCATGGAAGCACTTGGTGATGGAAGTTCCATGCAAATACTACTCGTTGTTTTAATCTGGCTCAGCCCCCTCCTTTGGCCTGCTGCCTGGTTTCCATCTGCCAGCTGTCTGACTTCACTGCTAGGCTCAGGCCTCTTCCCCTCTCTGGGTAGGGAACCCACCTGTGTAGGAGAGACATTGGGCTTCATGGTGAGGCTGGAGAGCCTCTGGGTCTGCAGGCCAGAGCTGGGGCAACCACAGCCTGGCTATGCAGGGCCTGGGCCCTGGCAGCCAGGAGACGCCAGGCCGAGCCTGACAGGGAGGGGCTGAGCCCTGCCTCTACAAGGCGATGAGATCAGCCTCACTCCCAGGAATAAACAAGTAGGGGGGGTGCGGGTGTGACAAGCTAGAGAGGGCCTGAGAACGGGTTTGGGAGTTGGTGGCTGGCAGACTGGCTGAGGACCGGGGCTGAAATGGAGGGGAAGGCATTACTTTATTCTAGGGGGATGGAGGCTTCCAAGGGCTTTGAGTAGCAAAGGCCCTGCAGGTCGACTAGGCTAAGCCTTCTATTTACTAAGGACAAAGCAGAGGCCCAGCAAGGAGAAGCAACTTGCCTGAGGCCACACAGCAAGTGGCTCAGGGAGCCACAGACAATTGTGCAAACTGTTGACTGCACAAGAGGATGAACAGGGGCTCAAATCCCATCAGCATTGGAGGCCGGTGCAAAGTCAAATGCCCCTGAGGAAAGGGCTTTTTTCTAATTCATACAAAGGCTGGGGATGAACTAGCAGTAGCCTTGCGGGACTGACCTCGTACCGGAACCCAGTGCCCAGGCTCACCAGTGCTCCTGCTGCACCGCCAGCCTCTCCCCAGCACTCAAACCCCAACTACACTCACCCCACCCACCAAGCACACCTGTGGGTGCAGGGGCGGGGCAGATCCAGGAAAGACAGGATACCATGAGGATGTTCCCTGCAGTCCCCACTCCTGGCATCCTTCTCTGCTAAGGAGGTTCCCCAAGATTGCTGCAGGCCACTTGTCTCCCTCGACTCACCGAGTCTATGCTCCTCGGGCTCCTGGCAGGTACCCGGCTGGTGAGCCACAAGTGACACCCTAGAAACACAGCTTCCCTCCCCTTCCCTGCCAAGGGCATACTCAAGAATGTGGAAGGCTCTGAGGGGCAGTGCCCCAGCCGTAGGTCCAAGGCTCCCTTCCTAAGGCTTTTTAAGGAACAGGACTAAAAACAAGAGAGAGGCCCCTAGCACTTAGAAATGACCAGCAGGCCAGTAAGAATCAGATGTGGGGTAATGAGGGCATCTGAAGAGGAGAGAAGGAATGCCACCCGGCAGATGGAAGGACTGTTTGTGGCAAAGGTGGGGGTGGTCAGACACCTGCCCCACACAAGGCCCTGCTCCAAGACTAGCAGGACCCTGCCATCTAGATAGGAGGGCAAAGGGAGCTCAACCACAGGGCTTGCATGGGGAGGGCCAGTTAGTGAGGGGCTCCCCAGCCCCCATTCCCAGGGCAGGGAATTCCTCAGAGGAGGGGAGGCCCCGAGTCCAGTGGGCAATCTGAAAGTCAGCCCAGTGCTGAGGTCTGGAACGACGTGCGGAGGACCACTCGTGCTGCAGTGAGGCTCCTGCGGCTGCTCTCCAAGAAGGCCAGAGACCAGCCGGAGGGGCAGGGTGGCCGTATTAACCTATCTAATCCTCACGCCATCGCCATCCATCGCCATTGTTATGACTTACTCAAGGTCACACCTAGGAAGCAAGGAAGTCAGGATCGGAGCCTAAGTCATCTGGCTCTGGGGCCCATACTTCACCAGCACACCCCAGGAGCCTCCAAGCCCTTCCCTGAGCCTCTGCTTCCTCATTTGTAAAATGGGACCAATAGAACCTCCCTAGCCAGGAGCTCTGAGGGTCACAGGAGAGATGCAGATACGGTGCCCAGCACAGGGGAAGAGGTGACCCCCAGCACCTGTCACAACCCCTTCAGGCAAGATGCTTCTGGAGCATTGTGTTCTCCCAGGCCAGCCCCAGAAAAGCAGCAGGAGGGGGGGGGTCTCGCTGGCCCACCACTCTGCTCAGCCCCTGTGCCTGCACCCTCGGGGCTATCCAGACTCTTCAAAGCCAAGGCAGTAACTGCTCAAGTGCCCCAGGCGCTCTCGCCACCCTTGGGTCCACTCCCTTGGCTCCCCAGGTGGGCTGGGGGACAAGCCAGCACAAGGGGTGGCAGGTCCAGCCAGTCATCATGACCATCACAGGCATGAGTGACGCTGCCCCTGCTGTGAGGTCAGGCACTGGGCAGGCAGGCGGCTGTAATTAAAGCCACCAGTGATTCAGGCATCCCCTGGGGAGGAGGGGAAGAGAGGAGGAGGGGAGGAGGGGAGGAGGGGAGGAGACAAGCCACAAGCCACTGGGAGCCCCATGTCTGCTTGGGCCAGGGAGGGCAGGCTGAGGTCAGGAAGCTGAGGCTGGCAAGCACCCACCTTATGGGACCTTGATGGGAAGGAGAGATTAAGGCCAGGGGCCCAGGGATCATGGCCCTCACCCAATAGGGTCCTTGCTCCAAACTCAAGGTAGATTCGAATGAGAAGAGTTGTTGTACTTTGTTGAGTTTAGACTCCATGCCTGTCAGGTGTCGGGGGTACTCTGCCAGCCCCTACACACATACACACACACACACACACACACACACACACACACACACTGGAGAAAGGCTAAAGTTACTTAGTTGCTTGTCCCAAAACACACTGTGGGTCCATCTGACGACCAAGGCCACTCCTCTCGTTGAAGGGACACGATGAGATGATGTCTTCTCATCCAGAGAAGCAGAGGGGAGAAGGGCAGGGCTGCGGGGAAGGAGAGGAAGTGGAAGCTCAGTGGTCAGCAGGGTGCTCGGAGCAGACTTGGCCAAAGTACAGCTTGTCTGCACCTGCGATTCTGGGGGGTCCCCTCCCAGCCCCCACACACACACACACACACACACACACACACACACACACACACACACACACTGGAGAAAGGCTAAAGTTACTTAGTTGCTTGTCCCAAAACACACTGTGGGTCCATCTGACGACCAAGGCCACTCCTCTCGTTGAAGGGACACGATGAGATGATGTCTTCTCATCCAGAGAAGCAGAGGGGAGAAGGGCAGGGCTGCGGGGAAGGAGAGGAAGTGGAAGCTCAGTGGTCAGCAGGGTGCTCGGAGCAGACTTGGCCAAAGTACAGCTTGTCTGCACCTGCGATTCTAGGGTCAGAGCTAGGGAAGAGATGAAGGGACAAAGAGCCAGGGTGAAGGGGCTGCACTATCAGGATCCCTGGAGGGGGTGGATATGGGAAAATTAGGAAAGAGAAAGAGGCCACTGGGAAAGGATTAGGTGGTCATTAGGAGGCAGCCAAAGCCAGGGAGTCACAGGGGAGAGGGGATGTGTCACTACAAATGCGAATGACATCTGCCTCAGGCAGGACCACTTCCTCCTAACTGGCACAGGCCCAAGTAGGATGGCACAGGCTATCAGCCACACCAGAATGGCTGGAGCAGTGTTAGCGGAAGCCCAAGCTCCCACCACTTCCAGCTGAGCGATCGCTCTCTCTCCCCTCCCTGCACTCCCAGGTATGAGGACGAGATCTCCAAGCGCACAGACATGGAGTTCACCTTTGTCCAGCTGAAGAAGGTAGCCTGCCCAGCCTGCTCCAGTGCTCCTGCCTCGTGGGCCCCTGCCCTCTTCCCCTTGGGATCACCTCCTTTCCTTCATGCCCAAGCAAAGCCCTCAGAGGCTTAAGTCGTCCTAGGACCAACAAATGGAGAGACACACCTGTCATGTCCCCATCCTGCTCCTTTTCCTGGGCTCTGAGCCAGCTGTCCTCCAGGAGTTACCCCCACCTATTATTTATTTATTTATTTATTTAGGAGAGGTTTTGGCTATAGGGCACGTGCGCTCGCTAGACAGAGACATAGAGACAGAAAGTAGGAAATCACCCCCTGGGGGGATGGTCACGCCGCAATCCTTTCTCTTCCATTCTCCTCTCGGGATCTTGGGCACACACGCACACACGCCCGGCATGAGTTTTAAGCCACCAGGTCCGGGACGCAAACCACGGTCAACTACATGGGATTCCAGCGACATAGCCATTACGCTAACTGCTGGTTCCTATCCTCCATCTCACCCAGAAAGCAAAGCCTCCTCCCGCACTGCCCCAGAACCACCCCCCTCCCATTCTCTCCTAGTCACTTACCACTGTTTCCGACCCCAGGACCTGGATGCAGAGTGTCTTCGACGGACTGAACTGGAAACCAAGTTAAAGGGCCTGCAGAGCTTCGTGGAGTTGATGAAAACCGTCTATGAGCAGGTGAGTAACAAGGGGCTGGTGTCCTCCTGAGCCAAGAGCTGACTGTCCACAATAAGGGGCCCAGGAGGGAAGGGCGTCCGGCAGGGCATAGAACCTAGAGCTGTCACTTCAGATTTCCAGCCACACAGGTAACAATTTCCTAGCCCCCTGTGCGCCTGTCAGTGATCCTGCACGACCCCTGCTACTCATTTCATGGAACATGGGCAGTTTCTCCAAGGCCACTCTCTCAGGGACAACCTGTGTTTTCCTGCGTACTGGGGTACTAATGGCATGCAGGGTCCAGTGCATCAGGCAAGGATCAGGAGGCCAGCCTCAGGGGCAGGAACCAGGAGCCTCGAGAAAGCAGGCTCTGTAATCTGGGACCACAGGTGCCCCTAGTTCTAGCCCTGTGGGCATGTACTTCACCCTTCCTCATTTTTGGCTAAGGCAGAGAAGACCTTGTCAGATATTCTGGTTCCTAGCTTCTGCCAGAATAAAAATGACACAGTAAATGCAGACAGAAGAGGCTCCAGAACACATTCTCATTTACTCCTAAGTTCTCGCCAAGCCCCAGTAGACGACAGCCCAGCAAAGCCGAGGGTGTCGCCAGCACAGTCAGCAGATGGGCCCCGCGCTGGCCCCCGGGTACTGCTCCTCCACTCTCAATGCTGCCTCCTGGCCACCCTTCAGGCTGTGCATCCTCTCTACCCCCTCTCTTCCGGGGTGAAGGGTTGTAGGAGTGATGCTCCTGCCTAAAGGCCCCTTCCACAAATGCCTTCCTTTCCACTAAGGGCAGACAGCACTGTTGGGAGGAGAGGGCTTGGAGCCTGTGTGCTACTAACTGCTGGCACCAGCTACAGCAATGCAGCCCAGGTCAGAGCAGAGGTCTAAGTCACACTGCAATCCAAAAGTCCTGCTAGGATGGCCCTCTGGGCTGCTGACCATGGCATGACATAATCATGGTGGAAAGGGAGATTGGGTCTGCTGGCTGCTCATGGGAGGCACTCCTTTCCAACCGGGTCAGCCCCAGCTAGTGGAGCTGCCCATGACCCCAGGATGTAGCATAGCAGAGAGAACACCACAACCCTTGGGAACCATAGGAAGATAGCCCTCCCAGGCAGCCCACCATGCCAGCAACCCTGAAGAGCTTCTATTCTGGCAAAGCCCTGCACAACCAGGCCAAGCTCCACAGGACTGACCAGGGCACCATGCCTATCGGCTGGTTTGGGAAGTGGGCTAGGGGCTTCCCTGCCCAAACTCACGTGGGCTAGCACCCTGTGGGCCCAGGGCTATCTCAGCTGGGCCAGTGCTGGACCAGTGCTCCCTCCTGCCCACTGATGGCTCAGGAAGCCCAGAGCTAAGCTTGAGGCCAGGATGGAAGCCCTGCAGTTAGAGACATACCTGGAGGTAGGCTGGGCATAACCAGCCATACACCCAGGCATTGCTAGAGACATACCACAGAACTTGGCCCCTCTCCCAGTAGCCATTGGATTCTGTTTGGACTTCGTAGTCTTTGGGTTCCAATCCAAGTTGGTCCTTCTTTTTAACCATTTATGTGACTTTGGGCATCTTGTTTCTCCTCTCTGTGCCTGTTTCTTCATCTGTAAACCAGGCAACAGTAACAGTGCCAATCTTGTAGGGTTGTGATGAGAGTTAAAACCATGCGTTCATTTAACAAATGGGTATCACATGCCTAGTAGGTGCCAGGCTCAGATGTCACAGTTGAGCAATGTCCCTCCTCCCTAGGAGGGTATGGCTTAGCTAAGAGGAGGCAGGGAATAATAGGCAAACAACTCAGTATCTGAGCAGGCCCACTGGGGAGAGTGGTAAGTGCTTGGAGCAAAGAAACCAGGTGATGTGACAATGTTGGGGTGGGTGGGGGCTGAGGAGGTGCAAGCAAGCGAGCAGATGCCCAGACGAGGAAGGTCCAGGCCAGTGGAGATCTAAGACACCTCTGTGCAGAGCCTCTAAGGCAGGAAAAGGCTTGGTGATTAAAGGGAGGGAAAGAAGCTGCTGCGGTCAGAACAGATGAGGCACGGCAGGAGCTTTCCGTCAGAAGAGGCAGGGTCAGCTCACATGGGGGCCTTAGGGTCTGAGGCAGAGTTTGGGCCTTATCTCAGGTGATCAACCCTGGGGGTGGGGGATGGCACACAGAGGGTTTCGGGTGCAGTTTGTGCTGTTCTAAGACTACTGGAGAAGGGACTGCAGGGAAGGGGGTAGGGGCCCAGTACGTTCCAGCGGTTACTACTACTCCTGATGACTGGTGGCAAGGTGGCGTTGGGCCGGGAGCTCCGCGTTTCCCTCCACATATTACACCACTGCCAGCTGCGAAGGCAACACCAACCTGGGGCTAAAAAGATTCTTTATGTTGATTAGTTCTAAGCCAGTACTGGCTAACAAATACAATGTGAGCCAGCAGGTAGAATGGTGGTTAAGGTGCCAGTTCCCACATGGTCAACTCCATGGTTTGAGTCCCAGATCCAGTGACTTTAAAAACGTACTGGGGGGACCAGCAGTAAGCGTAATGGCTATGTCACTGGACTCCCATGTAGTCGACCGTGGTTCAAGTCCTGGACCTGGCAGCTTAAACTCACGCCGGGCACGTGTATGTGCGTGCCCAAGATCCCAAGAGGAGAATGGAAGAGAAGGGATTGTGGCATGGCCACCCCCCGGGGGGATGCTTTCTCGCATTCTGTCTCTCTGTCTCTCTCTTTCTTTCTGGCGAGCACACACACCCTATAGTGAAAAACCTCTCAAAAAAAAAAAAAAAATACTGGGCATGTGTGCATGTATACCCAAAATCCCAAGAGGAAAATAAAGGAGAAGAAATTGCGGCATGGCCATTCCCTCAGGAGTGACTTATCACTTTCCCTCTCTCTGTCTCTTTCTGTCTCTCTCCAGCAAGCGTGTATACCCTGTGGCAAAAATCTAAATATAGAAATAGAGAGAGAGAGAAAGCTACATACTTTTTTATTATTTTTTTGGTTTTGGGGTATTTTAAAAGTGATTTTTGCTAAAGGGTGTGTGTGTGCTCACTGGAGAAACTGATAGAAAGCAAGAAATCACCTCCCAGGGAAGAAGGGCCATGCTGCAATCCCTTCTTCTCCATTCTTTCCTCAGGGTCTTAGGTATGTACATGCATGTGCCCAGCATGAGTTTTAAGCCTCCAGGTCCAGGATTTGAACCATGGTCAACTATGTGGGAGTCCAACAATGTAACCAGTATGCCACCTGCTGGTCCACACAAACATAATTTTAAGTTTTCTAGTGGCCACATTTTTTAGAAAAGAAGAAATTAATCTCAATAATGTATTTTATTTAGCCCAATATAATGGGCTATTTTACATTTTTTCCTCATGCTAAGTCTTCAGAATCTCACCTCATTTTGGACTAGCCACATTCCAAGTGCTCAGGAGTCATGCGTGCCTGGTGGCTGCCTCACTGGACAGAGCAGGTCTAAGCCACGGACAGTGCCGTCCACAGCTGTCTTCAGACGGAAGAAAAGCATGGTGGAACACAAGCAGCCCAGGAGGGCTGGGCCCTCTAGTTTCCACTTCGGAGCAGACACTAGATCAGAAAAGCACTTCTGTGTAGTTCACTCTTGTCCCAGAAAACAGACACCCCCTCTACCCAGCATACATGCACACGCACACCCACACCTACACTCACACAGCCAGGACACCTCCTGCAAAGCCCTTCCCAACCAGCTGAGCTGGAACTTGTGGCCACAATCTACTCAGAGCCTCGTCTCTAGGCTGCAGCCTCCATCTGTATGTTCCTCCCTCCCGGGACGCAGGCTGTGAGGGGACCCTGGGCTGGCAGAAACTCATACTCTTCCTCAGCTTCAGAGGTACAGTCCTACTCCCAAGTTCATTTGGGGCCTGGCTGCATCCAGCCGGAACACTGCCTGCCTCACCCATAAGCTCTGGTTCCAGAGAGATTAGCTGCAGAATCTGCTGACAACCCCCTGGGGTCAAGTGCACCTCCTGGGAGGCCTATCCCTGCAGGGAAGCCAGTACTGTCCAAACAGCTTTGGCAGGGAGGCTTCCCCAGGAATAGGCTACCCTGCCCCTGGACACTTCTTCCCGGCTCCACCACCTTTACCAGTTACAACAGTGACGTCCTTAGCTACTGCTTTTTGAGCACCTACTATATTCCAGGCACTGTGGCAAATGCATTCCAGACTTCATTGCCATTAATCCTCACAACAACACAATAAAGTAGGGGTAATGATTACAAGAGCACATACTTAGGCCCAGCTAAGACAGTGCACACCACTAAGACACCAGGCTCTGCAGGCCGAGACCACACAGAGGCCCAGGCCCAATTCCCACTCCCTGCTAAAGGCTGGGCACAGCAGCGAGTGCCTGTAATCCCAGCAACTCAGGAGGCTGAGCCAGGAGGATCACAACACAGTGAGATTCTGTCTAAAAAGAGAGAGCAAGAGAGCATAGACTGTAGAGTGGCTTAGACCTGAATTCTGGCTCAGTAATCAACGGGCACTGGAGCAAGTTATTTTAATCTCTCTATGCTTCAATTTCCCCATCTGCAAAATGGGGAGAAAATAGCACCTCCTTCCTGGAGCTGTTGTGAAGATTTGTCAGTATATTCTAAAGCATGTCTGTCACAGCTGAGCATTTAATAAACATTAGCTATTTCCAGTTCTATAATTACATTTCTCATTTTACAGATGAGAAAAGCCAAAGTGTAGAGAGGTTTTAAAACTTCAAGACTGGGACCAGTAGTTGGCATAATGGCTATGTCGCTGGACTCTCATGTAGTTAACCGCAGTTCAAGTCCCAGACCTAGTGGCTTGAACTCACACCGGGCATGTGTGCATGCACGCCCAAGATCCCAAGAAGAGTATGGAGGAGAAGGGATTGTGGCATGGCCATCCCCCCAGGGGGTGATTTCTTGCTTTCTGTCTCTTTCTTTCTGGGGAGCCCACGTGCCCTATAGCAAAAAACTCTTAAAAGAAAAAAAAAAGGCAAGAACAGCAGATGGCATAATAGTTATGTTGCTGGACTCCTACCTAGTCGACCACATTTCAAGTCCCAGACCTGGAGCTTAAACTCGTGCCGGATGCTTGTGCATGCATGCTCAAGATTCTGAGAGGAGAATGAAGGCTCTGGAGAGCCCACATGTCCTATAGCAAAAGCAAAAATCTCTCTCTAAAAAAAAAACTTTATCAGGGCTCCCCAACTGCACAGAGGCAGTGCCATTTAGAGCTCAGTCCCACTGAGTACTGTAGGTTACTAATAGCACTAAGTTATTTCCAAGACCCACCCTTACCCTAACTGGGCAGGGGGGGACGTGAGGGTGGTCACACAGGCCAGCCTCCTCAGGTGCTTACTCCCAGGGGAAGTCCTAAACTGTACCTCAGCTCCATTCTTGCCACCTTGGAGGTGACGTGCTCTCCAGGGGTCCAGCCATGGAGGCACCTCCACACACAAGTTGTGCCCTCTGCCACCCAGCAGGGCCTGCGTGCCTGCACAGGTCTGCAGATGTTCTGAACACGGCATTCCCTTCTTCTGTTTACCTGGCGCCTGCTTCCCCTGCCTGTTTCCAGAAGGATCTGAGGCTGCTCCACCAGCTGTGTGTTGCCAGACCTTTCACCCCAACAGGGAAGCCCTCCAGTATCCCTACAGTGCCTGGCCTTTTCCTGGGCCTACAGTGCCACTAGAGACCTCACTCCAGGATCTCCCACACCCACTGACCCCAGAACATGGAAACCAAGCAAGCCCCAAAGCTGCATCCCCAGCCAGGGTGCCAGCTCCACTGGGAAATGCCAGATGGTGACCAGGAGCAGCAGAAGGGCATGAAGGTCAGGCTCACAGCCAGCTTTGCCCAGAGCTTTCTGTTAAGTACATTTGAAGATCTACCAAATTCCCCAAAAGCAATTGGCCTCAAGGTCCTGCCAGCTCCAGGGTGGAGACAGGTTACCCCCAGAGGAACTTCAGAATGCCGGCCACTGCCCAAATGTCCTTTCCCAGGAGCCCCTCGTTGTCATCAGGGGGTGCTGGTGGGCAGGGGTTGGCAGGAGAGCAGGCCAGGAAGGGTGGTCATCCTCAGAGGCCTTCAGAGCTGCCATGCGGCCAAGCTGACCTCCCCACCCCAGCCGTCTATAGCTTCAGGATAGAGGCCACAGGTCAGAGGTGCCAGCCTCCACCAGAGATGGGAACCAGAGGCCCCACCACAACTTTCTTTCTTTCTTTCTTTTATTTATTTATTTTTTTTTAGAGGTTTTTGCTATAGGGCGCATGCGCTCGCCAGACAGACAGAGAAGGACAGAGAGATAGAAAGCAAGAAACCACCCCCTAGGGGGGATGGCCACGCCGCAATCCCTTCTCCTCCATTCTCCTCTCGGGATCTTGGGCACACACACACATGCGCCCGGTGTAAGTTTAAGCCACTGAGTCCAGGACGCAAACTGTGGTCAACTACGTGGGAGTCCAGCGACATAGCCATTACACTAACTGCTAGTCCAACCCACCACAACTTTCTGAGCAGAAGGATGAACCAGGAGGAGGAAGGGGCCCAAAGTCAGGAGCATAAAAGCTCAGCCTGGGTTCGAGCAGGCCTCCAGATCCAGCTGCCCGGTTCAGGGGACAGAGGGGATGGAGGAGCACATTGCAATTGACATGGGGGTGCATTGGTAAAATCCAGATCGTGGGGAGAGCTCCCAGGCAGACTTCTCAGTGTGTTCACTAAGAACGGCAAGAGAAAAGGGGGAGTAAAAGAGGATGTAACTGTAGATTAAGAGACTGGGAAACATAAGAACCAATTTGCAGTGTATGGGCCTTGTTTGGGTTTTGATTGGAACAAGCAAGATTTAAAAATTGTGAGGCAATTAGCAAAATGGGAGCACTGACTGAAGTCCGATGATTGAAACAGAGGCCAAGGGTGGACTGTGTGTGCCTGGCGCACTGAGCACGCCCCGCCCCTCCTCCGGCTGCCTCCCTGCCTCTCCAGGCCCCCTGGCTGGCTGACTCACTGTCTCCTGCTGTGCTGGCTAGAAGGCTTCCTTCACTCCCCACTTGCTCCACCCTCCCACGCAGAGGCCCCGCCCAGACCCGGCTTGTTCAGCACCCAGGGCTGGAGAGGAGACACCCACCTGAAGGCAGCCCATTTTGAAGACCCTGTTCCCACTTGCCTCTCTACACACCCTAAGGGCTGTCAGAGGGTGGCCTGGCAGGCCATACCCACATTCAATGAGGCAGGGGAGTGGGCAATGCAAGTTTGTCAGCCTCCAGCCCTGCCCTGTCCCTCATCTTTCCAACACTTATTCAATAAACTGAGAAGCCTTCTAGCCAGATATGGGGCGGGGGGATAAACAGTTCTTCCAGGCCTCGGGAGCTCCCAGAGCATGGCCTCTTCAGCTTCTTCCCCAGTTGGCCAGGAGGAAGGGGGTCCCACCCCAGGAGCAAGTGGCAGACAGTGGAGAACGGGAGGGAATCTGACTTGTGGCACACCTCTGACCCAAGGATCCTCCCTGTCCCCCTCCCCTCCTCCCCTCTGCTCAGAGAGAGGGCAGGAGCTGGCTCCCAAGAGCCAAACTAGTGAGTCCTTTGATCACTCTCCAGGGAGACAGGAAGGGGCCCATTTTCTGCTGACTTTGGGAATAAGGGGACTGTGGGGGGCTCAGGGTCCCACCCCACTAGCCCTGAGCTCTCCACGCGCATACCTGGCCAGGAGCTGAAGGACCTGGCAGCGCAAGTGAAGGACGTGTCGGTGACCGTTGGCATGGACAGC